TATATATATATATATGAATTTGAATATGTATATATATTAATGTTATATGATATCAGAAGTTTAACTTGGAGGAGTTGGAAGTTCTAATTAGAACTCTAGGGTTAAGGAGGATTGAGCTGGAGCAGTGGAAGGATGGGTGACCTACTGGGAAGTGAGTTTCGGGATCGTGTTTTGGTTGGATCGGGTTGGTGTTGATGTCGGTGTCGGGTCGGTGTCGGGGTCGGGGTCGGGGTCGAGGTCAGATTCGGGGTCGGGATCGGGATCGGGATCGGGATCGGGGTCGGGGTCGGGGTCGGATCGGGGTCGGGGTCGGGTCGGGTCGGGTCGGGAATATATTTCAAATTTTTCGTTGGAAAATTCCAACGGAATGCGGTTGAAAATTCCGTTGGAAAATTCCAACGGATGCCGGTTGGAAATCCGTTGGAAACTTCCAACGGAAAAATTCGTTGAAATTCCGTTGAAAATTCCAACGGTTTTCCAACGGACATCGATTTCTAACGACGAAATTCCAACGGATAAATCCGTTGGAAACGTTAATTTCCAACGGAAATTTGGCTATTTCCAACGGATTTACCCGTTGGAAATGACCATTTTTTTTGTAGTGAACTAGCCGAAACTGAGCGGTTTAAGGGGAAGCTCAGACACCCTGAGGTTTCGAACTCTCCACCTCTAGGTATTGAGTTGCCGCTAACCACTGGGTTGGAGGCTTCCCCGAGAGTTGTTGTTCCGACAAAGTTTACGTGAGAAGTGGGTCGGGTTATGCTCGGATTTTGTAGCATCTTTAGGATGTCGTCGATGATATTGTTGACGAGTTTACCTTCCGGACTGTAAAAAAAGAAAATGTTAGAAGATGCAAAAGTATTACCGGAATGTGTAATTGAAAGCAAACCAGGGCCTCATACTTCACTTGAGATTCATCTCAAAATAAGGATACTATTATAAATACAGTATTCTCCTATGAATAAAAACATAGAAAACATTTTTCGCTGTACTCTAACTCACCTGACCACATCAGAATCATATCCGAAGAGGCTTGCCGCTTCGGTAAGCGCGTCTCTCCACCTCTTAACCTTCTCAGCGATTCCTTTCTCTTGCGAACCGTTCTGATGCATTACCAAAGCAGCCTCGTACCTTCCCGTTTGCCTCCTGACCTCCACGGGCTTGACGCCGTAGAAGACAGGTAACACCCTGTGGCCTCTTCCCCTCCTCCTGCATTCCATAATCTTTGCCAGCTCATCAAGACACCACGTCGAGGATGCGTAGTTTTCTGAGAAAACCACCACAAGGATCTTGGCCCCCTCGATCGCGTCGAACAGCCCTCCTGCAATGTCCTCGCCCTTCTCCAGCTCGTGGTCCATGAAAGTTCTGATCTTTGCTCTACGCAGGGTGTAGAAAAGGTGGCTGGTGAAACCGTTGCGAGTGTCGGGTCCTCGGAAACTGATGAACACATCGTACCTAAACCCAGAATCAGAGCAAGAGGGGCAAGAAGCAGAAGCAGCAGAGGCTTGGGTTCGCTCCAAAACAGTAATATGACCCCAACAGCAGCACAAGACGAAGGCAAGAACGAAGAGGATAAAGGAGAAGAAGAAGAAGAAGAAATCATTAATGGTCGTCAAGAAGAATTCTCCGACATGACCCATGTTCTTGCGAGTTCTGCATTATGCAGCCAGCGAATGATCGAGGCTAAATAACTGCTACCACGAAACCACCTTCGCCGATAAGCACCAAACCAAAAAAAAAAAAAAAGGCTGAGAGTTTCAAACCCCTATGGTCCGCTGACTCCGCTTACGAGATAAGGCGAAGGCACCGAAAGACGGACAGAGCAAAGAGAACGGAACGGGTTTTTTTACATTATGTGATGTCATCGTATACATACACATACACGTGTCCTTTCTTTCTAAGCCGATTGGGTCTTATATCTTAAGCACGTGACTCCCTAAAATTCCACATTCAAAGAAAAGGTAATGGAACAACGACCGCGCGGATTACTTTGAGATCATTCAAGGAAATGTAACTAATATATAATCATTAAATGATTTGACTGATATGCATTTAAGCTATATTAATAGTGTCTAATTAAAAATACTTACCATTTAATAGTCAATTAAATTTATTTTAAAATTTTATAAATTCAAAATTTTGTATTTATATATGTGGATATGCATGTATATATATATATATATATATATATATATATCTACATGTATATATGTGTATATCCGTATATATGGGTGTTGCTCAAGATCCTAATAATATTTACAATACCCTTTGTCTCAAAAAAAAAATATTTACAATACCAGAAAAATGCTTTTTCAGTATCACACATTGCAAATCTAATAGCATATTGAGAATATAAAATCCCTCCTCTACTGGTCATGTGACAAATGAAATTTTAAAATATTTGAGAATATAAAAATTGTCATTATTAGAGTATTTTTTAATTGAATAAAATATTAAATATTTAAAAAATGGATAATGGATGATAAAAAAAAGTCGAATGATCATGTGATAAAAACTGAATTCTCTGAACTTCGATAACACGTTTCTAGAAATCACCTTAATTTGTAAAATCCAATTGATTATCCAAACATCCATATCGTTTTGATTGGCAACTCCAATGCCGATAGCAAAACCATTTGAATTTTGTCCACTTTCACTTACAATTTTTTTGTTTGTTTTTTTTGCGTTGAGCGTAATCCTATCATTCATAGCAAAAAAGATTTCTTTCCGTCATTTTTATTTAAAAAAATTAATGAAATATTGGGCAAGAGAATTATGGGTGCTGTTGGGTTTTTGGAGGCGAAATTTCAATTCAAAGATGGACCCTTTTTTTTATATCGGTGGGAATCCGCCATACGATCCTTCGGACCGGACCCCGACCGCCAAGCTTCCCCTCAGACCGAACAGTCGGTATGTCGATAGTAAACCTCTCATCACTGCGCAATAGCCGGATAACCACGCAGAACAGATTAACCAGCCGAAGCTGACTGACTCAAGGGGAAGTTCAGCCTGAACTGGTTTTGAACCCTCCATCTCTTACGAGGGAAGGATTATCACTAACCATTAGAGTTGGGGGCTTCTCCGAAGATGGACCTTTTTGTGCAACATGTACACATAATAATACCACGGCTGATTCTGACCAAGTCACTTCACACATCGGACCGCCAACATTTTTCTATCTGGTCATACCATATAGATTTTATCTTCCACCCTATCAAATTCTATGGTAATACGGAAAAAAAATTGATTAAAAATAGTTTTTTTTATTTTATTTTAAAAATTCATCGTATACTCAATTTAACTATATCTTCTAGAAAAATGGAGAAATTCAGTTAAATGTCATTCTTTAAATGGAAACTCAAACCTGTGATATAAAGGAGTTTTACTCTCTTTACCAATTTAATCACCCAACCTTAGATAAAAAACAATGTTATATAAAAGGGGAACTGTTAGATGCTAATTGCATCATAGAATGATAGTTTATGACGCTATCCCTCCTAACTGTTGCACCCTTTTGGACAAGGGCATGATCTGAATTACCAACATCTTTTTTTATATTAGTGTGTTCACATTCGTCCACTTTCATTTACAGTTTTTTTTTTTTTGGCGCTGACGATTACTATGTCTCATTAGTAAAAGAGGGAGAGAAAGGAAAAGAGATTTCTTTCCGTCGTTTTATAGACAAAACAAAAGTGGGGGATGTTGGGCTTTTAGAGACAATATCTCTACATGAGCCGCTTTTGACTAAAGGCACTTACTTTTACACATGGCACTGACCAACATATTTCTATTTTGTCTCACCCACACACACACATACATACATATATATATATAACAGTTAAGCCTCGTTTGTTTTTGACGTTTTAACAACATTGCATCTTCTAACAGTTACAATGCCCCAGCAGCTGACTGAAGCGGTGAACTAAAACAAAGAGATAAAAAAAGAAGATTGATCGGCCACATAAACCTCACACATTCCTATCAAGCCATGGAACACCGGCTAGTTCCATTTGTAAACAAGAAAACAGAAGGTGTGCGAATCAGACCGGGAAGCTCGAAAAAACGAAGGGGGAAAGTGGAAATCTCTGAAGAGGAAGAGGAAAGGTACCTGAACATGTCTTCAAAACCTTAGCCCGACAGATTGAAAAATCTACCAACACAGAACACAGAACGGAAACCGAAGATCTCGAGCAAGAAACACGGAACGAAATCCAGAAAGGGAAAACGCTGACCACAACGAAGATCCGAAAAACTGATGAATAAAGCCTCAGATTACCGGAACAGCAAGAACAGAGTCACCACGAATAACAGAAAATTTCAGAGAGAACTGACAATCGTATAACAATCAGTCGGACCTTGCAATTCCAGTATCGACAATTCGTGTAACAAATCTCCAACACCAGAACAACATAAAAACTGTTTTCAAGCCGAACACCGTGAACAGAACACTCCCGATCTTGTAGCCACAAAGTCAGGAAGAAGACGAGCCTTTCACACATATATTCTCTCGAGTGAAAAAAAAACACCAACAGCAACAACGGACACATGAATTTATCTTCAGAAACAAGAATCTTCCATAGGTTACGATTTCGATTAAATAAAAATGAGACCCGGGAAAACGGAGATTGCACGATCCTAATGCTGCCACGATCTAAAAGATGATTTGACCGGAAAGAAATGATGATGAAGAATCAGATCGAACAAGAAGAGGACAGCATCTCAGCCCAAGTTGAAAACGGGGATGAAGGAATTTAATCGAAGAACATCAATTTTGAAAGCATTGTGAAATCATTGATTGAAGTTGAAAACAACACAGAATGAAACGATCAGAACATAAACAACAGGACAAAACTTTGAGAGATCACACACACAAACAAGAATTAAGAATCAATATTGATGAAGCGATAATAAAAAAAAAGGATCAAAATCAATGACGAAGATAATTGAGAAGGACAAAAGTGGAAATTTCTCTTACTCGGTAATTTTATCGAACACTTGACAAACAACATCGTCGTCTTCGTCGCCAGCCCCAGATCCAACTGGACTAGTGAGCTCCGATTCTCCGATCAACTCACCGAAAAACCCACCACAAAAAATAAAGGAGAAATTTCTTCTTCTGAGACCGATGAGATCGAGAGAAGAAATCCAAATTAAAGAAGTGTAAGATGGGATCAGAAATCTCATACCATATTGAGATTCAGAGGAAAACAAGAAAAAGAAGAACAACAAAACCAAGACGAAATTACGAAAACAGAAAGGGGACTGCTCTGAAACATCCAATAACATCCATACGGCAAGATAGATCGATCACCTACGGCAAAAGATTCCAAATAATCCGCGCTTCTGTAGAATCTCTAGGACGTCTTCCACAATTTCATCGACAAGTTTAGCTTCAGGCCTTCACAAAAAACACGTTTCAAAACGAATGATGAATAAATGGGACATAGAGAGAAAAATAAACACGAACACAGTCTTGCCGGCTTTGGGCCAAACACAGGCACTGACCAACGTCATCGTGCCTTATTTTGCGCAAAGGACGTGTTAATTTTTTTCTTCTTTTGTTAACTAATATGGTTTTAATACAGTATGGAGAATGGAGCAAAGACCAAAGCCGACTCACCTGATTTCATCGGAATCGTATCCGAAGAGGTTCGCCGCCTCCGTAAGGTCGTCTCTCCACCTCTTAACCTTTTCCGCCGTTCCTGTCTCTGTCGAATCACTCTCATGCTTTACCAATGCCGCCTCGTAGCTTCCCGTCTGTCTCCTCACCTCCCTGGGTTTGATGCCGTAGAAGACGGGCAACACTCTGTGGCCTCCCCTCCTCTTGCATTTCATAATCTTCGCCAGCTCGGCAAGACACCAGGTCGAAGAGGCGTAGTTTTCTGACAAAACCACCACAGAGATCTTGGACCCGTCGATCGCGTCGAACAGCCCTCGTGCAATGTCCTCGCCCTTCTCAAGCTTGTGGTCCATGAAAGTTTTGATCTTTGCCCTACACAGGGCGGAGAAAAGGTGGCTTGCGAAACCGTTACGAGTGTCGGGTCCACGGAAACTGATGAAAACATCGTACCTAAACCGAGAAGCAGAATAAGAGGGGAAAGAATAAGCAGCAGCAGCAGAGGTAGGGTTTCGAAACAAATATCCGGCGTGCAGGCTGGTCTGGGCTAAAATCTGGCTAATATGATCCTCCCATATGTATAAGAAGAAGGCAAGGACCAAGAGGAGAAAGAAGAAGAGGCGCCCAAAGAGGAAGATTATCTTGTAGGCCATGAAGGCATCGACTGCCGCGTTTGAGACAACATACGCCGCGGCTTTGGAGCAGAAAATGGCGGCGCCGGAAGGACGGCCTCTCACCGGAAAACTGCTGCTGCTCATAAACTTGGTCGGACAGCATATGAACTCGATCATCGTCTTCTTCGTGAGCAAGAAACCGATTATCTTGAAGAGGAATTCTCCGATGAGATTCATTTTCCCCGAGTTCTGCATTCTGCGGGAATCGAACCCAGTCAGAGAAACCATATTCACGATCATTACCAAATTCCAAAATGGAAAACATTTTTCTTCTGGTGTCGCCGGGAAAATTCCGTCTACAGAGATTTAAAAAAAAAAACTAAACAGACAGCAAAGCAGTCAAAGAAAAACGATATTTCTTTCGGTCGGAAAATTCCGACAAGAAACGAAGTAGAGAGAAAATGAGAGTAATGGTAACAGAAAAGATGATGGGAAACGGAGCAAAGAGAGTTTTTGTAATGGCCAAACAAACAGAAGGAAAACGTATGGAAGTGCGAGTGTAGAATCTAACCGCGGGGAGAGCTGACAAAATCCCACGGAGGAAGAAAAATTCTTGCTGTTCTAATTTTGTCGACTCAGGCTATGCATCTATTTATAGGAATTAGGAGGAGGAACTGAGGCATGGCCGTACCGTCATTGATTTCATCGATACACCTGAAAAATTCTAAAAAGTTTTTTTTATCAGATTTTACACCTCATTTCAAACAAAATGACCAATATAACCTTATATACAAAATATCTAAAATATTCTTATATACTAGGTGAGAATTGGTAATATAAAATATTTGTTCCTTTGTACAAAAAAATATTCATATGAATATAATTATATATATATATATATAATATAAAAAATGTAAAGTGAAAGAATATATATATATATTATTATATTATTATATTATTTTTATATATACATTGAATACAATTATCAATATAATTTGATATGTTTTTACGGTGAAATCTATAGTTAATCAATATAATAGTTATGAGTTTCTATTTTTTTAATATATATTTACATTATAATAATAATAATATTTTATATTAAACAATTTAAATATGTTTTATTAAATAAATATATCTATTCATACCATATATTATGGTGAGATTTTTAATAAAATTTATAATTCCAAAAAATATAAATATAATTATTAAAAAATAAAAGGTATAATTGATTATGTATATTTTTTATTAAGTCTAATTAATATATTTTTAAATGAGTTATATTAAAAAAATAAAACTAAAATATATAATAATTTAGAAGTTAATATACTTTTATAGTAGAATATATATATTATGTTTTCAATGTTTTTATTACTTTCATGAAGATAGTTATAATAATTATATGGGAAAATTAATTCTCATATTTTATTTAAAATAAAGGAATATTGATATATTGCCAAAACAAAACTATGCATTCTTCTGAGGTTAACTAAAAAACTCTATACTTTTTTACTTACTCATTAAACTATATATACATACAAATTCACATATAAAATATATATATATATA